GGTCAATTTGCCTGTTTTATTCATTTGAATAAATTATTATTATTGTTAAATTTGGCCTTTATTAAAATGCATAAAACGTTCTTGACAAATTTCCAAATCAATACTTCGGGATAGCTTTAATCTTCCTTTGTCCGAAATTAATGAAGGGCAAACCTTAGTGTACACCAATATGGGTGCTTGGTTGATGTTACCGAATTCCATTAAATAGATTAACACTGAGACCGGTAATTGCATTTATGCTTAAACGTTTTATATACTTTGGTAAATATTCAAATTATATATAAAAGGCGTTTTTTACAAAACAATTTGTTTGTTTACCGATGTTAACACAATAAGGCTTGTGTAACTTCTGGTAGTTTGTGAAGCCGCTAGACCGACATGTTAATTAGGTATGTAATAGTATGATAACTTAAAAGCGCGCCCCCGAAGTTCAGAAACAATATGATACTAACAGCAATTTATTATGTTTAATAATAACAATTAGTGCGTTACATAACACAAACGCCCTGTCTTTTGTGTACCGATTTACATAATAAGAACAAATAACAAGTATATTTTTAAAATTATCATTATTAATATTATGCTGAACTTGTTACTTCCAGTGCGTTGTGATCATAATTAATACATAACGAATGTAAGATTATTTCTAAGCACGTCCACCAATTTTATAATAATAAAACAATGTTTCTTTAATTGATAACATTACAACAATACTAATCAGTAGTCTATAATATAAGTACATAAGATGTCTCAAGATATTTTTTTATTATTTTATTTTCTAAGCAAACCGTTAAAGACTATTAAAGGCATTTTTTACAAATAAAAAAAAAAATTGTATATATTAGTTATGAAAATAAATATCTAATTTAGTACTTCAAGATATTAGATTTTGAAATATTGTATTTATACCTGTTTTCAACAAAATAACCCCTTCGTGATTGGTAAAAATTAGTCATGAAAAACAAGTGGACACATTATTTCTACAATTTTATCACCACAAGTTTAATTCAAGAAGTGAGCTTTGAACATATACGAGTATATGTTCAACCTCGTGTATAATAATATACGCCCCAAGTATTATAGCAGCTGTACCTATATAAAAAAAAAACACTTTTCAAATCATTTGACCATGTTATTTAAATATTTTACTAACGGTTTAATGATAGTTTTTTGATCGCGAAAGAATTATTTATATATTTTGTATAAAAACATAATGATATGTAAAATATTTAAAAAATGTATATGTGTATACATTTAAATGTAAAAAATAAAACGGTCTAGAGAAATGTTTTGAATATATTTTGTAAAGATATTAGTATAAGAAAAATATTTTATCAAAATACAACAAATGTATAAAACCTATTATTGAAATTATTCATGTAAATGTTTCATGTTGTGGAAAAGTTAATTAAAACAATTAAAACTAAAATATTATAAAGTGCATTCTATAAAAAAAAGTAATACATTACAACTGCAATATTCTTAACGTTTTACGTACATTTTTGTAACACATCTTTGTTACTTGGACAAAATAGATTTTTATACATTTTGTTCTAATCGTGCGGATCGTTTTGCAATCACACTTTATCGAAATTGGGCTTATCTAATCTCGTTGGTCGTTTCGGATGGAATAACGAATTGCTGTTTATAACTCGAAATAAAATGTCATTGGGAGCTATCGGCCATCTATTAAATTTTCAATGGTCCAGAAGCAATCTCCAACATGTAAGAGCGGTAAAAAATAGTTACAGAAGGGAGTAATGTATATAACGTTATCTTGTTGTAGATTAGCGTAGCATGTACTTGGAAAGTTTTTTTTTCAAAAGTTGTGACCGATGTTGCTGTGCTATCTTTCAATTTCTGCTAGTGTAATTTCAGTCCATCGAAGGATGCGACTGATTACTATAGTTTGCAGACTATATATTATATTTAACTGTAGCACAATAAAAGTTTTTCAAATAAATACAACTTTGATAAATTTCCGTTCCCGGTTGTCTACAATGCTCAAAGAAAAAAAATGCATTATTAAAAAACAAATATTTTACATATAAATTGTTGAAAAAAAATTCTATAATTAGTATTAATTATTTATCAACAGAAATCTAATTTTTAAGCTTATCAGTGACGTAACATGATATTTGATTATTTTACAAAAGCCACTATTACAAAGTATGTTGAGTGATTTCGCAAGTAAGTTAAATGTTTTTGAACTCAACTGGACACTTTTTTTTATCAACATTTTTACTGAACCTTAACGCTTAACTAAAATAATTAGACGGGACCATAAACAATTTAAATTTTACAAAAAAACGTTGCTATACATTTTTCAAAACTTTATAAAATATAATTAATACAAATATCTTAAATAAATTCAGTGCACTAATTATATGGTCAAAACACAAAAAGTTTGTCAAATTAATTGATAATATTTTTGAACTCAACTGAGATAAAATTTGAATTTCTAGATAATTGGTGACACAGCTTGTGTGTGAATGACTAGTTGGGATGAAAAAAAAATCGTCAACTCACCCAATCTAGATATTTAATTTCTAAAATATACAGCTAAAAATAGTTTTTGCGAAATTCCAATCCACCATACGAGTATATAAAGCTGTAAATGTAAAAAAAAAAAAAAATGCTTTACTTTATTTAGTGCGTGCATTTGTTTCTTTCAAGAAGACTTGTTTACCTTTAACTATTAATCTCTTAAGGTATAACGACTAGTGTTGGTCTGTAATCTCAGTAAAGTCAAATTTACCCAACTACCCTAAACAAAAAAAAAATATGTTGTTGCGAAATCAATACCTTCCCTACAACAAACTATAACAAAACGTTATCAGCCCATTTCCGGTTTTTTGATGGTTTATTTTATTAATATTTCATTGGAATATTTTTTAACTAATAATATAATAATTTAATGGGAACGATTGTTGCAGAATAAACTGTTGATCACAATTGATTTAGACTAAAACGTGCAGTCTTTTTATAAAATATAATCTATTTTTTGGTTTATCTTTTTTTTTTTGTTAATTTCGCATACTGTTCAAGAAACGCCAATATTTTTTTTTTGTTTGTTTCTAAATTTATTTGGACATTTGTGACTATATTTTCAAGCGATTAGCTTAGAATTCGAATTTTATTTCAGTTCGTAATTCAATAGCAAACAAGAGTTACTTCAATACCAAGTAATTTATATGGAAATTCCCGAACGAGTTGTAGCACAGGTTACAAATAGAATAAGATTGAATTTATGTTTAGAAATATTTTTCTTTTCATCTTTTGAAATAAAATGGATTTCTGTAGGCAACTATTGTTTGAAAAAAGCTTCTTAAAACATTCGTCCATACGTAGATGGGGTTGAGAACAGATTTTTTAAAAATTTTCATAAGGTATTTTATAATCTATACTTACTTTGATAGAACAAGTAAAGGGTACAGGGAAAAAACCAGCAAAGTCACTTTTAAAAATGGCAATTTTTTGTTATGAAAGTCGTTTTGATACAAAACGAATCTGTTCTTTACTTTTAAGCATGATTATAAACAAAAATATACAATATTTTTAAAAGTTTTAAGTATTTCTTTAACATTTTAAAACACATTTTAGCATTACATAAACGTGTTTTTCTTAGATTAGAAAAAAAGTGACTACTGGTTTTTTCCCTGTACCCTTCAAGTATATTATGCACTATAATATGTATTTACACATGAGTATTTTGACAAAAAACCTAATGCACTTCCTAATTAAAAGTTTACTTTTTTTAAAACATTTATTATTGCTCTTATTGATTTAAGAGGTCACGACTTTACTTGCACTTAAGCATCTTGGAGGAATTCCGCTAATGGATAGCGACGACAATTTTTTTAGTAAGCGGATTAGAATGGGTTTGTAGCTGGTTATGAAAACGTTTATAAAAGCGTAAGCTTGTTGAACTTCTTCCTGTACAATCTTTAGTAACCATAAAGTGTATAATTTGAGATATAAGGACGCGGATTTGTTGGTTTTCTAAGAAAAATGTTTGTAAAGAGTCCGTATGTTTAGAATGGTTTTATATATTTTGTTAAAACTACACTTTATAACTTATTTAAAAATAGTCGAATTAGTTCCAAAATTCATATAAAAATTCTTAATATAAAGTACTATCGATGAACGTTGACAACCCTAAAAAATATCATAAAGCTCTTTCCTTAGAGGGAGTGGAATTTATTTCATTGTTTCCCTTTTTATATGAAGTTTTAGGGCTTAAGTTCTGAAAATAAGACTGAATTTAGATCTAAAATGGGAAAATAACATTAATTACGATTATCTTAAGAATTGTAGTCAAACTTTTTTTATAAAGGAAAACCACAGAAAAAAAGAGAAAATTTTCACTTTGACCGTTGTAAAGTTCTAAAGTTGTCATGGGTGAGTGTATCTCAATAGTCAACAGGTAGCCAAAACATATGTTCATTCTATTGTTAATTGCGGTAAATAACACAATCGATCGCACATTTCAAGGCAATCAACCCTAATGGTATGAAAATATAATTTTAAGTACTTTGCAGCTATTACCAATGGTTTTATCGGTTTTTTTTTCCTTTTATTTTTTACCGTCCACAGATTCGCGTTGAAGCGTTTACCCCCGAAAGGGGTTTCATCGTTTTCGGTTATGAACAATTCCTGTAAGCCTGTGACCCCCTGCATCCGAAATGTTCTGTCCCCACTTTACTGGCTTTTATTTTCATTTCATATTGTATGAAGGGGTGTAACAGTTGTAAGACGGGTACGCGGCAGGATCGAGTACGGCTACTGCGCGCTACGCTTCTTCAACCCCCCCAATGTATGGTCAGGAGGTGAATGTGGGGCGCGGGGGTGTAAAGCAAAGGCCGAGGGTTGAAGTTTAGAGCGATACCTCGCCACCCTGAAAGAACCGCGCGCGCGGCGGCACCTGTTGACAACCCTTAGCGTGACACAAGGCTGCCGTACACCGTGTACACATCGTATTCTTGAGCCGCAGTCCTTTGCGGACGGTCGTCCTCCGTAGTAAACGGTTTACCATCGAGAGAGCACATCGCGACTCGGACAACACGTTTTTTGATCGTTTTGTGAATTCTAAATTAAAAAAAAAAAAGTTTTATTCGAAAAAATACCCGTCAAAAATCGAAAACGCGCGGCTTACTAATAGGTTTTTTTGGTAAAAACCCAAAGAGCCCAGACTTGTCGCCTTTGCCGTCGTCGAGATCACGTGACCGAACACGGCCAGACACGTCTTGTTACTCGGCGATTCACACAGGTGAGTCCCTGGTACGGATTGTTTGCACGGATTTGTTTATCTTTAGACGAAAATATGATAACCCAATATTATACATGCTTTGTTCAAAGCCGTTGAAAAACATCCACGTATAATATATATTTTTATTAAATTTATAATATTCGGGAAATATTAACGTTGCTAAACGGCATTTGATTGTCTACCAGATATTTCACCTAACTTAATCTTTTTGACAAATATCGGTCAAGTATTTATATATTATTTATGATGTTTTAGAAATATATAATTGCTGTGTACGTTATATCATTCCGAAAATATCCTAACAACGTTTTGGAACTATTTTCTCGACCATAAATAGTTTGAAATACTTATTTTCGAAGTATAACCGTTTTTGTATTGTACCTAAACGGAAATGCGTTTGCTTTAGATTTCTCGTCGATTACTTGTTATAACGCGTTTATTTTTGAGGTCTCGAATGATAATAATTTACAAAGGAGTAATTTTGTGTGAATAAAATAGCGTTTATAAAATTTTAATCACAAATCGCTTAAGGGTTTTTGATGTTGAGCTAACTTAAGGTACATTACTAATTAAATGCAAGCTACAAAGGTTCCCTTGTTTTAGTATGGCAATTTTTTTTGTTATTCCTGCGAATAACATATTTATTACATTACCGAAAAGTTGTAAATTTGAAAAACTACAAATTAAGTAAATACACTTGTAAGTTCTTAAGCTGAAAGATAAATGTTGTTAAGTGTTTGCGTTTACCAAACCTACCCTCGTCGAGTCCACTTATAATTTTTTAAGTACTCAATTACAGCGTCAATTTTTTTATATACTTAAGTTCATGCTTTTTATACAGCTTTAATACAAGTTTAATTTTTATCCGGAGATGATAATATGTTTACCTCAAAAAAATTAATAACACGATAATATTTTTATTAACTATTTACCTTAGGTAATTGTTATCATATTACTATCTTCATAAATTACCGTAAACGGCATTACTCTTATGAATATATGTAATGAACAAACTGAATTAAACGTTAATGCCGTTTCTCGATAATTATTACTTACAACAAAATAAATAAAAAATTAATTTAAAACCTATAATGTTAGTTTGCTAGTAGAATAGTTAGTTTGCTTATTTTATATGGCGTAATTAAATTTTTAAATTAAATTTATTAATTAATACTATATTAAAACCGTTAAAATAAAAAATTACTATCAATCTGATATTCCTTAGAGGTGTTTAATTAATTTTGTAATTAATTATGACTTGTTAGTTTCCATCGTCGGTATCGACAGTTATTTAATTCTAAGATTGGCAGTATAATATTTTTTATGTACATTATAATATTTAATTAAACACTGTTAGTTAAGTCTAAAGTTGTATTGTAATTGCATTTTTAATCACTTCACACTTAAAGTTAACCTAATTAATATCATAAATTAAATTTTTGTTAATTTATCCATCGCATAACGTGTATAATGAAATACTAATTAATAGTAATTCACTTTGAATATTTTATTTAGATTTATTAATTCTAATGCCTATCTGATCCATATAACTAACGAATAAAAGGCAATTTTATCAAAACTTTGTTTAACGTTTAAAACATATTTAAAAAAAATTTAAGCCTAAAACTCAAAAATATTAATCATAAAATACTGATTTTACAATGAGTATACAAATTGTTTTAATATTAAAATAATATTTTTTTATTTCAAAATTTAAATATTTTTAAAATGTTGTCAAACCGCTTCTTAATATGTTTTTAATATTCTATAGCGATTGCATAGCACAAAATGTATTGTTTTACAAATGTAATTTACAAAAATATGCTGTAAAAACATTTTATATTTCCATTATTTAAATAATAATTTGTGCATAACATTTTTGAAAAATTAAATTTAGTACCGAGACATTGCTTGAACATAAAATAAAAATACTGGAATCATTTTCGTCAACAATTTAAATTTATTTATATTGTTTAGCCGTCTGGGAATAATATAATAATATTTCCACCATTCCTCAAAAAGACATACCTATAGAAAACATTTTTAAGTTATTCCTGTGTGCTGAACGCTAAGGTCGTGTCTTCTTTTTAGATTCAATCAGTTCTATAAGTTTATATCGACCGTCATACTTTCAAAAAGGGATTTGTTTTAAGACGGCGTATTGGTTATGCAATTTAGCTGCATGCACGCGTTTGAATAAAAAGGTTATCGCTTATTGTTGGGTTATAAAAGTGAAAACAAAAAGCCAGCAAAATGACTGCAGCCGGTCTTTGAGAAAAATGTACAAAAACTAAAACCACACTTGATCAAATCTATTTTTAAAACTACGCTTTAAAAGGTGAAATGAAAAAAGTTTCCAACCCTTTCTATATGACCATGATTGAAATATACAAGATTATTGCACATATACCTCTTCTTCATATAATATTCGATGATAAAAACAAATATGTCGGCGAAAAAGAGTCAAAATCAAGTATATAATTGTACCAAGTTAAATATATAGTAATAGTCAAGTAAATAGTAAAATTTATATCCCCTAACGCTGCAATTTTGTTTCTGAAGATTATAATTCGGTTTTTTTTCTTCAAAACAATTGAATACCTAGTAGAAAATTGTTTTTACCGTCGTGCCGTTGCGATGGAATAATTTTTACTCGGTCGAGTGGCAGGGATAACTTTGTAATTACATTTCTTATTGCTTTCCATCTCTTACTACAACCGTTACCTATGTATTATAATTATTATACATACAGGCTGACGTGTACGACGAATCCTGTGGGAAACTTAATTTCGGCCACTCGCCTAATTAGTAGAATTCCATCGCGTTTGGGCTAAACTCAAACCGACACACACAAATAAGGACTGAGCGGTTAGCACATGTCCACGGTCGTTTCTGGTATTAAAATTACAATTTCCCCTTTTAAGTCCAAAGCAGTGTAACCGACGGGTTTAATTAGTCGGTCGTTCCGGTGTCCTGGAAAAGAATTCGCAACACCGGTGCATCAAAAAGATACACACAAAACGGAAGTTTTTAATTAAAATTTCCCTACGCCGTACATTCTTTTCGTATTAAATAGTATATTGTATGCCCCTGTTTTCCCTCCCCCCTCCTCTATGGCTAATTTCCGTCTCACCACCTGTATCCCGCTTGAACAACAGCAAAAAAAAAAAAAAATACCGAATTTCACGATAAGTTCCTAACAACAACTACGGTCCGACAACCGTTGGCGCTCACCTGTCCGAAAGTTCACCGATTTAATTTTCCTCATTTATTTCAAACTTTATCGGTTCTTCCGCAAACAACTCCTGCGGATTCTGTAGAAGTCTCTAATACTATATAAATACGGTAGGGTATTTTACTATGCGTATCCGTTTCGGTGGTTTCAAGAGGTAAACGCTTAGGGGGTTTAGAATAAAAAACTAATCTCGAATTCCGACAAATCGTTTTGTTCGCGATACCGATTATTTACTTTTGTGGTAAAAAGAAAGTACACCCGATAAAAAAAGTAGTTGAAATAAATAAATATGTCCATTCGATATTATATGATTTAATAAAAATCCACTTTCTCTCGATGACCAGAAGGGCCCACGCATTGGTTTTTAAGTACTTGTATACTTTTATTACGAGTGGGGTCATTCCATCAAGAATGAACAAAAAATCAGAGTATAAACTTTTTGTCCAATAAAAAGTACTATCATAAACACTTTGTCAAATGACAAATTGTATGGAAAGTAATTGAACGAGTTAAATGGGTTAATCTTTGGTATAAACAGGTTGTCAATTTTTTGTTGGCTATTGATTAACTAGTAAACTCATCTTGGTTCAAAATATAGGACCCCGACCGCGGTTGTTCAAGGGGTCGACACATATTATTTAAAACCTATGTAGATTTCTATGGAATACTAATGGAATTTCAACACAACCCTTTCGACTTATACACACAATATGCCACATGCTATATAAAAAATACCTACATAATCTAGATCCATGTTTTGAATTTTACTGCTTGTAAATTTAGTTGCATAATTGAACGACGCAACGTTTACAATATTATGTATGTTTAGATACTTTTAAAGATATCAATAATAATTGTTAGTTCTAACTAAATTCTACTAATTAAGCGATAAGCGTTGCATACGATATAAGATGTGTTATGTATTTTATACTACTAATAGGTAAATGCAAATACCACTGGAAAACCGCGAGTTATTGTATTTTTTTCGTATTAGGTTTCATACAAAAAATAAAGGGTCTGCCGAGTCGTTTTGCATCAACGGGTTTTTATTTTCAGAGAGCGTTTTTGAATTGTTTCTTTTTATTTTGTCGTGAGAGCTGCGTGGTTTGGTAATTTTAAAGATTAGCCGTGGGAAGTAATACCTGACTTTTTGTTTTATATTTCTTTCGTCTAGGGAAACGGCGAAAAAGAGTAATAGCAAACCTTTCACACACCGTTAAGAGCACGGCACTCTGTTTAATGAGATCCACCGTGGTCGTCCCGTGTATTTGAACGGCGACGTCGGAACAGTGAGAACATTGAGGTTTATTGAAAAATAAAAAAAATAAAGTATTATAATACTCTTTCAACCGCCATCACAGTCCTAGTCAAACCCAGTATTTTTCGTTGTCGGACGCCTTAGACAATCATACAAACAATAGACCTTAAGAACAATAAGTTGTTTTTATTATATCATTCAAGATAACTTTTCCCCCCCTAGAAAATCGCCGACTCCATCGCGTATTATAATGTTACAATTGTTTTTCAGAACCGTAAAAAAACTATACTTGTAAAATATTTTTTTCTGTAACTTAACAAATCCTAATACTCCAAAATATTCTATTATTTCTTCAAGCGCACTGCTGAATTTTTGAACGGTACCTAGATAACGTATAGATGCAACAGTGAGCTAATCATCCGACAATAAATTTACAAAAACTAATTAAACAATTCTCGAAAGCCACTGTATTGTACAAGAGAGTATTACATTTAATTTCTTTGAGCA